GAGAGATATCATCACTAACATTATTAGCTTCGATGACCATCACAATCTTGTTCCCTAAATCCCTCAAGGGCTCTCTTATTGACAACATATGTAACAAGGTTGGCTCTTATGACATATATTATCCACATCATGAGGTGGAGTTTTAAAGATATGGTTTGATTAGTGTTAGAATATTTATCCTATTTATCATCATATTGTGTCAAGGGTTACCCTATTTATCATGATTATATTGTGTCTAGGATTACCCTATTTATCATGATTAGATTGTCTAGGGTTACCCTAATTATCATGTAATTTTGTATCAATTTATTTTTATAAATAGAAGATTAAGAGAGGGATCAATTAAGTCCTCGAGAATTATTTTACAGCTTCAATCTCAAGTTGGTATCAGAGCAGGTTGTTTAAGTCTCTTCTTACTCTGTCTTTTTTGTTGTCGGTGGCTCGTGGCCGCCGCTATAGCGGCCTTAAAAATTTCATCTTTTCTGAAATACCTCAATGAGCAGTCCCACTCTAGTTTCTATCTAGTCCCAAACCCTAATTGCTATCCGCAACTGTCTGACATCGTTTGCCATTGTCCGGTACCGTTTGCCACTGTCTGGCACCGTTTGCCACTGTCCACCATCGTCTGACACTGTTTTGCCACTGTGAGGAGTTGTCCATTGAAGTTTGTCATCATCAACCTTTGTTCCCTGCCATTCTGACACTGTCCGCCGCTAGCCACCGCCATAGTTTAGTCCGACGACCAATGGATCTAGACCGTCTCCTTGAGCAACGGCCAACCCCGCCGATGTCGAGGTCTAGTTCTCATCCATGCGCTGCCACACGCTCCACATCTGTCCGATGTCCGCCTCTGCCGCTGTCGCATTTTCTCTGGTAAAGTTAGGGGTTTTGTGTGCCTCGAGGAGCGCGACCCATCTCTGGTGGTTGTTGCCTCATTCTCCTCCACATGTGTCGTCACCCACAACTTCTCTCCGATTAGATTCCGACGTGTGTTTGTCACACGCCACCATCCCGGTGTCGGAATCACATTGCGCCATTGACGTTCGTCTTGACGGACCTCCTTCTCTCTGTTCTGAACCTCTAGGTGTGCCAGCCACAGATTCCACCCATCAATCTCGTGTTTCCACTGTGCCACATTGGCGAGGGAGTAGTGGCAGCAACCAAGCAAGCCGTGTTGCTATTGTTCGTGCCTCTTCTGAAGGGCTTTATGCATCACCAATGGTTTCTAGTGGTGTTTTGGTTTTTGCCATTACCACGTTCTTTCTTCTCTTTTCTTATGTGCCACAATTATTAAAAGAAAAAAAAGTGCCTCTGCTTCAGCATTGTTTCTTGATTATTTTTGTTCGATTTGTTCTAGCTCTTTGTTGATGGTAACTAGCCCGCTCTAATGACCTTAGTCTCCTTCAATGATGTGTGTTTAGCATTGTATGTTGTAGTAGCTGTGATGCTCTTGTTGGGTGTCATTTATTTACAAGTCTCCAAGGACAGTCGGTGGTTAATATCAAGGAATTTCAACATCAAAGTCATGGGTTGAAGGTTGCTCGAGGAGTCTATTTCTAGCGAGATTCAAAATCTTAGTCAACAATTTCACCAGCCCTTTGTTAGATCTGTTTTTGGGTCCTTTGATGAATAAAGGAGACCATTATGTTCTTCCACCTTCACGATTTGTCATCGACGCGTCATCATTTCCGCCGTTTGTCATGAGGGGGACTATGTTTCCAGCCACTGCACTTTTGTCCTTTCAGCAACTGCAGGCCCCATCACCCTATTAGTTAGTGATGACAGTCCTTGTAATTTTGTCGCTTTCAGCCACCGCAGACCCCATCCTTACTTGATGGCAATCCTGTCCTTGCAGTTTGTCATTGTCGTCATTTTACTTGAAGTTTCATGGTGCTAGTTGAAGTTTCGCAGTTGTCCACCACGGGTCCAATCCATAAGCTGCTGTTAGTTCCATAAGCTGTTGTTAATTGTTAGTCGACTCCTAACCTCAAGCCTATGTATGTTTATAGATTTTGGAGTGAGCTTTTGATTAGCAACGACCTAATTACGACCTAATTGGTGGTAATCACACTTTATCTTAAGTTGTTCAACATTAGAGTTAATTGTCCTGCCAACTGACCGATAGGTCGAACTCTACAATTGTTCGATCTTGATGGTAATTCGTTCAGGCGTCTGACTACTAGTTGACTGTTCGGTCTACGGCTAACTAGACAGTCATACGGTATAGTAGTTAGTCCTCATTATAGTTATTAATTAATTAATTGATTTTGTTCCCTATAATTGTATCTTTTTATTATAAATAAGAGTACTTGTGTGTACATGACAAAGTTGCAACAATCCTTTCTATAAATAGAAAATGGATGGAGCTGTGAGATTGAAATTGTTTTTTATAACACTTTATTCCTTAAAGGAAAAATTATCTCTGTTCCCTTGACTAATTTGAGGATTTTTATATTTATCCCTACTAGCGGGACTTTGGATGTTGATAATTTGGTCCCTGAACTTTTAAATATTTTTTCATTGTGGTCATATAGCATATTTGCATCTGGATTCCGTACTTCCATTAAGAACATGCATCTCATTGAAAATGTTCACGGACCAAGTCAGTAGTTTAATTAATTATTGGTCCTTTAACTTTTCAATTTTTTTTAACAAGGTTCCGATACATAATAGAATCCTAATGGAAATGGGCCAGGGACCGAATTGAAATTTATTTTTAAGTTTATGGATCTAATTACAAACATCTAAAGTATAAGACTTATTTTTATAAAAAAGTCCTCAAATAATTCAGAAGCCGGCAAACTTAACTAATTTAAATGTAAAATAATGAAGGTTTGAATAGACAAGAGAGTAGAGTCTTTTGGGTCAGAAAATAATGAGAATTTGTAAGTTTGATTCTCTATTTGTTGCAAAGATGCTTTTAATTAACTTCTATCTTTACATTCCTTAAATTCCTTTCAATTTGTACTTTTTTCTATACATGTTCTAATTTATTATTTATTGTTAAATATCTAGCAAAGTGATAGAGATGTGATCTTTGCAAAGTTCAGAAGATGGTGGAAGGGTGTAAATATTTTTCAGAAGGCGTATGTTTTGATTCCGATACACGAGGAGTAAGTTTTCTTCATTATCATTGAACTTTTGTTTGTAAATGATGATCTTGTGAATGTTTATAAGTTCTTTTTGTACTTTTATAAGTTTCGTAAAGGCCTTATTTTATATTTTTACTTTTACTAAAATTTGATAAAAAAAACATTGGGTTCCATTAAATTAAATAATGAATTTATTTGATTATAAGTGGTGGGCATGTTAGTGGTGGAAACCATAAGTGAAACATCATATACTTAGTGTATTTATATTCTTACTGTTATGTATTTGCTAGCTAGTTAAAGTGTCCATCCATTTATTTTGGTGTACTTGTGGCATTTTCCTTGTTCCCTAAACATTTGGGGCTGGTGATGCAAATCTTTGGACTGGGTTATGACTTATAATATCTGAAGATATTCATTTATAATTTAAAATGTCACTTGAAATAAAATGTGTAAATGATTTTGTAGTAGAGATTGGATACTTGTTAAGATTGATAAATATACAAACTTTATGGCCAATGGGAAGTAACTAGAGTGCTACTTCCTATGCTTGTGAATTCTCTATTCTAAGTGCATAAATTACATAATACATGAATCTGAACCAATTCATGCTCGTATTTCGAACACTCTCCCTACAAAGTTGGTCGTATAAACTAAATTTTCCAACCTTCAAACAAATATATTGAATTTCGAGAGACTATGTAATGGTTTGATAGTTGATCATTGGAACCAATAGATTCAGTGTTCACTTCCTTCAATAGAACTTTCTCTTGAACAAAAATGACAGCCAATTTCAATATATTCAGTTCTTTCATGAACCACTGAATTGAAAGGCTTGTGAAGGGCTGATGATCACAAGATAATATCATCCGGTGTCACCAAACTTCGAGCTTGAAGTTGTTTTAGTGCAAATCAGTTCGTAAATAATGTTGGCTACGATTGTTGGCTTCCTGATTTAATTCTAACTACCCTCCACGAAGGAGGAGCTTAGTGGATCCTATATATAATTGTTTTATTGCTGTAATGTGAAGTAGGTGAAATGTAAAGCTCTTTTCCAAATTTGTATTAGAGTGCTTGATCTTGGAGGCTCTGCTTCCTCATTTGTGCCCAAGACTGCAACACTCTGATCCTTTCAATAGTAGTATAGACACTGCATCTCCTTGTTTGCAGTGGAATACCCATAATTGGAATTGACCTTTATTTGACTTTGAGCACCCCTGACAGAGTTGCCACCACCAGACTACCCAATTCCCAGGAACCTGTGAGCCAGAAAGACCTCCTGCATTGCACTCTCAGGGTCCTTCTCTGATGTTTGTCATTTACAGATCATCATCTTGACCATTGTTTTCAGTGCTTGTGGGAAGTTTCAGTCTCATGGTTATGCTATTATTGTGGTTAGTCAATTTATGTATGATTCACATATTTAGAGGCAGTAAACAAAATTCTTCAATATTTGAAGGGATGTTCTTGGAGGTATAGACAAATGCGTCATTCAGAATCAATTGCAGACAGTAGGTCCTCCTCAGGATACTGAATGATTTTGGAAGGAAATTTTGGTGATATGGCGGAATAAGATGCAAACTAAAAATAGCATAGGGAGTTTTTTTCTTTAAAATGCACAATGACTGGAAAGTAATGCCAAGATGGAAAGAGGAGGGAGGAGGAAGAGGGAGTCAAAGAGAACATTATGACATTGTTACTGATTTGATATAATGGTATATATAAATTGATATAATCACAAGTTGGAAACTGTAAATTAAATTGGAGTTTGCCGAAATAGGGAAAGGAACTGCAAAAGCCAATCTAAATTTGATAGAGGGCAAGGTAATAAGATATATCAGAGTTAAGTACCAAAATTATTGCTCTTCAGGAGAATGGTAACCTAAATCTCTTTCTCATTCAAATATTTTATTCTAATTTATTTTGGATTTTCTTTTTCTTGTATGTTGGTTTCCCATTTTGGATGCTCCAGCAATTTTTATGCTTGTTGGTTTTCTTTGGTATAACTTTTCTAAGCATCTCTTCTTCTGCCTTAACATTATTTTCATATGATTAACTAACACTGGCTACTGTTATATCATTTGTCTATGCTTTATTCTATTATGCCCTTCCTGCCAAAATTTTGTAGTTGACAAGAGCATATTGTCATATCTTTATCTTACCTTCTCCCTTTACTCAGTTCTCGGTTTGTTACTCATGATGTTTGATATATCCAGCCTTCACTGGAGCTTGATCATTATTTGTATCCCAGACAAAGAAGATGAATCGGGGCCAATCATACTTCATTTGGATTCTTTGGGTCTTCACTCTAGTAAATCAGTTTTTGATAATATTAAAAGGTGAGATTAAAGTATGTATTGTTGTATCTCATGTTGTGACATTAACATTTCATCGATACAAATGATAATTTGCTCAAACACACATCTTGCCACTTCCACTCTGCTATAACTTTTAAGGTGCTTGTGAAGTTGGCATGATATATATATATATATATGTATGTATTTTTTATTAAATTATGATGATGTTTTCTTGTAGTCAGCAAATATGATTATCTGATCAAGGTTTTGTAAGCTACATACATGATGTCTTATTTTAAAAAAAATCACGTGTTTTGATTAACCATTTTCATGGAAGCATTGGAATAGATATCAGTATATTATTTGCTAATGGAAATGAATGCTTTTGCAACAACCCAAATTCTATTTCAATTTCACTTCTATGCATTTGTAAACTTTTAGCTAGCAATTTGTTTTTTTCTCAACACAACTTTTATGCATCTAAATATCTTCGGACTTCAGAATCTTAACTGGAATTCTTTTGATGACTTTTTTACTTTATATTCTATATGCATTCCCAGCTGCAACGAAATGTGGTCACTTATGCTTTAGTTATGTGGCTTTGTAACGTTGTTGTAAGGACTGTTTCTGAGAAAGTGGCTGACCTAGTCACTTAGTCGGAACCTTTAAAGTGTATGATAATTTTCTCCCAGACCTAGTGACCTCAGTAAAATTGATGGTTTGAACGGTGCAAACCAATTCTGTATATGCTATAAGCATTTATCTTAATTCAAACATCAAGACTTAATAATGTGAAATTATGTATTGTAGCTATTTGATTGAAGAAAAGAACTATATGGATCGGGAAGATGTGTCTTCAAATGTTTCAATTGCAGACAGAATATGGAAGTGCCTTCCTCGTAGAATTGAATGTCAGATCATTGCGGTAAATTTGCAAGCTGTACATCTAGAGTAATGTGCTAACTTAGTGATACTATTTATGATAGTTTGAAGTTGAAGATAAGCATATCTTTCACCATTTTTTCTTGGTGAAATGAATGTTTGACGTCTAATTTAGAATAGGTGTCGGAGTTCTTGAGAGTTTTTTTCAGTGATTACATTCAAAGGAATGAGGTTCGTCTTCAGAACCTCCCAAGAAAACTATGTTTCTTATTAGGTTTAGCCTTCACGTGAAAAGAGATTGAAAATTGTTTCAAAACTTTAATTGGATGCTGCAGGTCCAGCTTAATGAAGTTAGATTCTTAAAATTGATGATGAAAAGGAAAACAGCAAAACTATTTTGCAGTTGTTTCAACAATTATAGTCATTATTTTTTTTTTTGCCTGAAAATTTTCATCGTGTTGCATTTACACATTGCACCAGGTTCCCCAACAGAAGAATGAGTATGACTGTGGTCTTTTTGTATTGTACTTCATTGAGCGTTTCATGGAGGTGGCACCTGAGAGACTGAAAAAGAAAGATTTGGCAATGGTAATAGCTACGCTTCTTTACAAATATAAGTTTATTTCAAAAAATTGGTTTGCTGTTGACTTGTACTTATCAACTTACAGTTTGGAAAACGATGGTTCAAACCCGAAGAGGCTTCCAATTTGAGAGTGAAAATCCGTAAATTGCTTGTAGAAAAATTAGAGAATTCAATGAGGGATAATTGTGACCTAGAATCTTCTCCTTCATCATCTGGTGGCCCTGCAACTGAGTGTGTTGAGTCCACCAAGGATTCTATGGCGTAACATGCAATCATGAATTGCAATTCTCATTTCCTTGAACCAACAATCTGTTGATATTTTCATATTGTTGGCGCCAATGGCTTTTTTTGTTTGTACAGACATCAGCCATTGAGCTGATAATTTTTGGATAATTTCCTACGACCTGGTTACTGCAGCAGTCGTTAATACAAGAAAGGATGGCTGACCCTTTGGTATGAACAAATAACAATCAACCATTTCTTGTGGGTTAGGTCATCTTTCCAAATGTATAGCAGGAAACGGCACAAAGCTGTCTATTAGAGTTAATAGCTTTCGTATCCACCCATTTATTTATACTTAATTAATTTCATTTTATAATTTCGATGCAAGTTATCCAAGCTTTGCTTTCTAGTTTGTGAATGTGTGTGTGTGATTGTTCTTAATTATCCATTCTATAACATCATCATTCATTTATCTGTGACCTAAGATTGAAAGAAAAGTCTGAAGATGTACAGTGATATGGAATTTAAAGTATTACATGTTTTAGGTAAGGGAGCCATTGTGTTGATGCAGTGGTTAATTTAGGCTTGGTAAATGAAAAACAATTTAAATGGTATATTTTTATGCTCCTAATATTAGTTTTGATTTGTTTTTATAATAGGTACTAACATCTTATATATAGGGGTATTTTGAAGCTCGTTTTGTATTGTTTTATCATGTGTTTGCACTAGTTTTCTTAGGATTTATTATTCTTTTTTATTTTATCTTTTAACAATATATTTTAAGTGATGATAAGTGATAGATGGGCTTGTGAACATAATTTAGATATTATAGTATAATGATATTTAATATGATTTTTTTTATTAAAAAAGCTACCTAACTCATTTATAGGGACGACATGGATAGAAAAATTTATGGTTTAATGTCTCAATAGGTC